AGCTAGAAATCGTTCGAGCTATAGGCGGGTCGCTTCTCGGCGCGCCTAATATTCGGCTTCGTTTTATTGTATCGCCGCGTCGTTTTCTAATGCTATAGGCGCTCCTAATGTATTATTCTACGCGTTTCCCGCGCCCGGCGCGTTCGGATCGCTTGCGTTTATCTTTCGAGGTTCTATAGGCCGCTACGAAGGATAGACAGTTTAGAACTATAAGAAAATAGGTATATAGCAACGTATAGAACACCCTCTACTAATCGCCGTAGTAGAAAGTAGAACTAAACCGTACCTTTCTTAGAATAGGGCAGAGTGTTTACTATTAACTAGGCTACGTACGGATAGTATATATACCGAGCCGGCAACCGAGTATATCTATACGAGCGACCGAGCTTTTCCGCGTATACGCTAAGTAGGCTTTACGCTAGCGAGACAGTACCGTAGTGCACGTAATAATATTACATAATTGTTATATAGGCTTGCTAAGGCATAATAGGAGACTTTACTTACTTAGGTTCTTATATACTTTAACGAATCTAGTTCTACCTCCGATACTCCCCGAGATCGTACTATATTCGCTATTAGCGCGGCTGCCTTCTCGCGTCTTGCCTATAACAAACGTACTTAGATCTTCGCTATAATAATATAGGATATCGAGAAGGCGATCCGAAAGTTCGACGAAGAACTAACGGATCTAAGAACGAAACTACCGAAGGAGTATTAGTACCGACTCTACTAGTTTTCGAAGAAGAACGCCGACATTCTGCTACCGTACCGGCTAGGTATCGACTACAAAATCGAGCTAATCGATAGCAAGCCGCCGCCGTACGGCCCTCTTTACTCGATATCTCGAGATAAGCTCCTTATACTAAAGAAATACCTAGAAGATAACCTATAAAAGGGCTTTATCTGCCCTAGTTCCTCCGAAGTAGCCGCACTAGTTATATTTGCCCGGAAACCTAGCAGAGGTCTCCGTTTCTACGTAGACTACCGGGGCCTTAACGCGTTAACGAAAAAGAACCGCTACCTAATCCCTCTCGTAAACGAAACGCTCGAACGCCTTTCGAAGACTCGCTAGTTTACTAAGCTCGACGTAATCGCCGCCTTTAATGCAATCCGTATTACTAAGGGAGACGAATAGTTAATAGCCTTCCGAACCCGTTACGGCCTTTTTAAATACCTAGTCTTGCCGTTCGGGCTCTATAACAGACCTAGCACGTTCTAATTATATATTAACGATACGCTTAAAGAATTCCTAGACGCCTTCGTCTCGGCGTATATAGACGATATCCTAATTTATAGCAAAACGAAAGCGGAACACTACGAATATATCGAAAAGGTACTTTAGAAACTCGTAGAAGCTAGACTATATATCGATATCGACAAGTGCGAATTCTATAAGTAAGAGGTGAAATTCCTCGGCCTTATTGTCTCTTTAGAAGGTATTCGAATAGATCCCGGCAAGATCGAAGCCGTTCTAAACTAGGGAGTACTACGAAACGTAAAAGAAGTCTAGGGCTTCCTCGGTTTTGCTAACTTCTACCGGAGATTTATACGGAATTTTAGCGGAATCGCCCGTCTACTTACGGCACTTACGCGGAAAGACGTTAAATTTGAATAGTTACTAGCCTATTAAGAAGCCTTCGACTAGTTACAGTAAAGTTTTACGACCGTACCGATCCTATAGTACTTCGACTTCGATAAAGAAACGCGCCTAGAAACCGATGCTTCCGACGGTATAACTAGCGCTATTCTCCTTTAACGAACGACCCCGGAAGATGCGTAGCTACCCGTAGCCTACTTCTCTAAGAAAATGTCCTCCGCGGAATGCAATTACGATATCTACGATAAGGAGCTCCTCGTAATCGTTAAGGCTTTCGAAGAATAGCGTCCGGAACTCGAAGGTTCTAAGTTACCGATCTAGGTTAGCTCGGATTATAAGAACCTTATCTACTTTCTTAAGAGCAAAATCCTTAGCCGTAGGTAGGTACGCTAGAGTAAGTTTCTTTCCCGGTTTAACTTCGTTATTTAGTATACGCCCGGTAAAGCAAACTTATAGGCCGACGTACTTACGAGGCGTAACGGAGACTCGCCTTTAGATCGAGGTCCGTAGCGTAAAGAATAGTCTATCCTTAAGGAGTATAACCTTAGCTAGGAACTATACGAGCTCCTCGGAGACGACTTTACCGGCCTAGAGCCTCTCGTAGCATCCTTTATACTAATAGCCGCTCCCGCCTTTCTTAGAGATAACGATAGCTCGGACGACGAAGATACGAGTTTAAAGAGCTTAGATAGCGACTAGGAAAGCGAATAGGAAGCATAGGACCTCCTCGAACCTACCTAGCTCGAATAGTAGCTTACGACAGTATACGCCGAAGACGCTTTTACTAAAGGTCTAATTTAAGCTTTATAGAACAAGGAGCGGTTATACGAGAATGTTTCTCTCTCGGAGTACGAGCTCCGTAGAACTCTACCGCGAGCATCCCGTATAATATTTAGAAATGCCCTCTACGTCCCGGATTTCGAAGATTTACGCGACTAGATTATACGTTCCGCTTATAACCCTCTCGGAATAGTATATCCCGGTCGAGCTAAGATATTATCTTAGCTCCGGAAGTAGTACTACTAGCCTAATCTATACTAAGATGTCGACCGATTTATTAAGAACTGCGTAGTATACCGTAGAGCGAAAGCAGATACGCGTAAGCCGCAAGGGCTGCTAAAACCTCTTAAAGTCCCTCTACGACTATAGTAATATATTTTAATAGATTTTATTATAGGCCTACCGAAAGGATCCGACTTTAACGGCCTCTAGTTTTAAAACATGCTAGTTATAGTTTGCCGCCTTATGAAACGCAAGAAGGTATTAAATGCCCGTAGCCTAACCGTAAAGAATACGGCTTAGGTCTTCTACCGGGACGTATAGAAAGATATAGGCCTACCTAAATTAATTGTATCTAATCGCGGCCCGAATTTCGTTGCCCGTTTCTAAATTCTAGAAGCGCCTCTACGAACGATTAAAAATTCAAGCGCGCCTTTTAACGGCTTACTATCCGTAGACCGACGGGTAAACCGAACGGGCTAACGCGCAGATCGAGCAAATTATTAGGTGCTTCTATAATTACTACTAAAACGACTAGCTAAGATTAACGCCTTCTATTAAATTTGCTATTAATAATTAGGAGTCGGCTACAACTTAGACTACGCCGTTCTACGCCTCTACTAGATTTTACCCTCGAACCGGTATAGAACTAATAGAAATCGAACTAGAGCCCCTAGCAAACGATCCGGAAAGAGACGCCGATACCTTCGCTCTTTAAATAGCCTAAACCTACTAAGAGCTCTAGGACGAGATAAGGTATGCCTAAGAAGTGTACGAGCACTACGCTAATTAGCGTAGACGCGCCGCGCTAGATTACTAGGTCGGAGATTACGTCTACCTCGACTTACGATATATTAGAACTAACCGACCTTCGAAAAAGCTCGACTAGAAAAATCTAGGACCCTTCCGAATTATAAAGAAAGTCGGTATATACGTATACGAACTAGATCTCCCCGAAAATCTTAATATTTACCTAGTTAAATACGTTATTAACCTAAGAACCGCCGGAGAAATCGCAGACTTCGAAGACATTCCGCTAATACTAGAAGCTACCGAGGCTACCGATTAGACCGAAGACGAGCTAGAATCTGCCTTAGGCATAGTACGGGCGATTATCGGATAGAGCTTTAGTAATACAAATTTCGGAAATCTCAACCCTTCTAGACTATAGGGAGAGGTATAATAGGAGGGGTACTCGGACGAGGATACGACCTAGGAACCTCTACGCTATATTATCTTCGCCCGCGAAGCAATTAAGGAATTCCTACGAGACTATACCGACTATACGATAATAGAAGAAGCTGTCCTAGAATATTTTCTCCGAGAAGCGTACGAATAGAATTTAGATTAAGGTCTCCGACCCGAACTAGGATAAGAATACTAGCACCTATTATATATAGACCTCTTTTAGCGTCGTAGGAACTCTACGTAGAACGAGGGGGGGGCTACTATTATAGTAGCTACCTAGAAAGCACCGACAAGTCCTATAAGCTAGCCGCTATACTATAAAGTAATATCGGATTTAAGTTGCCTTAGTAGTAGGGGCCTCTAGCGAAGCAGGTCGCCTAGTTAGCCTAGGTCGCCTAGGTCGCCTAGGTCGCCTAGGTCGCCTATTTAGCCGTATAACGTAATATCTTAGGGACTCCCGCGGAGGCTATATATAGTAGAACAATATATTATATATTAATATACAAACGACGGGACTACACTAAACTACGCGTATATATATACGGACGATAGCAAGTAAGATATATAAAGTCGTAGGACAGATCCGAGTAGTAGGAAGGAACCGGAAGGCAGGGAAGAGCTAGAAGAAACATATTTGCTTAAGAGCGGTTAAACGAGTTCGTATACGCGCGCTACGCTAGTTAGCTAGGAGATAAAGGCGCTACGAGATAGCGGATAAGTAGGATATACGTACTTGCGCTTACGTATCGGACGCGCTAGACGGCCGTAGGGCAGAATACTAAGGAAGGGGCTCTCCCTCTAAGGTACCCTTCTTTCTTTCTTTATAGTTCGTCTTATATAGATAGTAGCTATATTAATTTAGTACTCCCTTTAGTTTAGTTTAAAGTTTCGTATACATTCTTACTACTTAGCTACTAACCCTTATATATCTAATATAGCTTAACCTAATAAATATTTGCATAAATAGCTGCTTCCGAAGTATAATAGTAGGAGACGTGTTTCGGTATACTCCGCGCCTAGCGTTTATCTAGGCGCGTTTTGTAATTATACTTATAGGGACCGTATACGCTACTAGTAGGACATGCTTTCGTTACTTTTCCGGCATTTATTACAAAATTCCATTGCTTGCTAATTAAGGGCTTCTTTGGTATTAACTTGATGCTGCGCCCTTAGGGATACTGATCGCTAAACTTGGCCCTTTTTCAATGTTTTGATTATGGAGCCTTCTGTGATTTGTGCTGAAAACATAGCTCTACTTCATCTGCTACACCAAGTTCCCTCTCGACCCTTGGGGAACGGAGTAGAGCTCAAATCGCAATCCTATCCAGGCTACAGTCTTCCTTTCGAAACAGAGCGCCTTTTGGCAAGTGCACTCGCCTTCCTAGCGGGCACCAAAGATGGACCAGATCATATCCCGGCCGTATGTCTCAAAGAAGTCCCTACCTCGAGATCGCTGCATGTCCTCATTGCTGTCAACAAAGCGAAGTGGGCCGATGGAGAACTCGTGCTCGGAGAGCTGGCGAAAGGATTTCAAGGCATATTTCATTCACTTTCCTCGGCCACAGACGGTAAGCAGCCTGGTTCAAGCTCTTCTTGTCGTGACTGATTTGATATGCGCGGCACTAGGCAACGTATTTCCGGCGATTATAAAAATGTGTAGTCGACGTATACAGTGCCGACTGCGATTTACTCCGAATCACCGGAAAAGGATCCAACCCTCAATACGTAAGGTACTTCAAGATAGCCTCGACGCTATCAAACAGCTTCAACCACCTCCTGCTAGTGCTAGGATTTATCTCGAACAAACCAGAGACGTGATGAAGAAGATTGCAGCCTGGAGTGCGCATCAGACACCCGAGCGTTTGGGAGAGCTGGTCACTGGCTTTTATGATCTCTCGAGAGTTCCTGGGCTTAGTGACCTTCTGCACGCGATTTCGTACAAGAGCATGGACCCTTGTGCGCGAAAAAGCCTGCTGAACATCATTGGAAAAGTTGGGCGCTATCGTGGAGTTGCCATGTTCCTCTGTCAAGTAGCTGCTAAACATTCAGCTCTTCGACGAACTAAAGTTGTGCCTGTACGCTTGCCGAAGGATTTTTTCCGCAAGACTTCGGTCACCCTAGGAGAACCGAATCTACCAAGGGTAGTATCGAGGTTCAGAGACCGTTATGGCGGACGATACGACATAAAGAACATTTGTCAAATTCTAGGGCTCGAGGAACGACAAGCGAACAGCCAATTTGTGGACCAAACATTGAAGTCCTTGAAAACTTCAAGAATTCACGCTGAGATGCAACTTATATTCTACTGCGAGCTAGAGAGTTTCCTTCCTCCGCCTAGAGTCATCTGTTCTAGTAAGGATGCTTGTTTCCTATGCAACACCTTTATAGTCATGCATGGGAAGTTTCACACGCCAAGGTGCCATGGCAAGCTATATCCTGGATGGCGGTTGCCAAACACAGATATAGGGAGAGAAAGACAACATTTCAATGATCGGCTCCAGCAGCAAATTGAGGATAGTCTGGCATTGCTGATTTCTCGACGGGCCAAGACAGTCTTCCTGGATCCAAACGAGAGTACTCTTTTGACACTGCCCAGGTCAAAATCGACGCTCAATAGCGAGAATCGATGCGAAAATGTGGAAGGCGCAATCATTCTATCAGGCGCAAACTCATCTCTCTCTTCGAGCTCTTCCGCGTGCTCAGCACGATCCTCGATGAATAGAAGGAATTTAGTCGTTGCAAACAGCGGCGTGGGGCGGGACAAGCCTGACAGCGATATTATCTCGAACAGCGACTCTGGACTGACACCAGGCACATCGCCATCGGCCTGCCTTGCAGTTTCGAATGACCGTATATTTACCCTTACTCCTGGGCGGGAGGTTTCCGTTTCCATTGAGCACAATATACCGGCTAGTTTTGAAATCCCAGGGCGTCTTGAAGTCCACATCGAACACTCGTCAGATTCACAAATCGACCGCTTGTCAAGTGATCAGCCAAAAGTCGGTTGCTGTGTAAAGTGGTTGACAGGGCAGGGCAGACGAAGCAGCAGCAATAAAGCTCGCATTATCGACGCCGAGCTTCTAGAAGGTGAGGTCGTTCTTAAAAGAAGCGAAGTCCGGAATCTGTGGCTACTCGCCAAGGGTGACGTATTGCGGATACGTGCTGCCGAAGTTTGACACTTGTTGCGTTTGTGCTTCTGCCGTTGTAGAGGCCTATCATGGCCTACACTTTATCCGGTGGCAGCGAGAAGAGCAACGACATGAAGTGGGAATATGGATCGCGGCTTTCGCATTCTCGATGCACGTTGTTGACCTTTACTGTGACCGAGACGTCTTTGTGGGCCTGCGCTCTCTGGGGATCTTCATTATCGTCACGTGTTGGCCTTTCTTGCTGTCTTGCTCTTTGCTCTTGCCATCGTCCTGTGTCATATGCGTCTCGCGCTGCTCTTCTTCATCCCAACTAGCTCGTCTCGCAATCTCGTTGTCGCCGATGCTGCTCTCATCTTCCGAGCAACACCTATTTGCCCATTCCCGCAGGTTCTAATGTCAGTCAGTCTTTGGTCGATGCACATCTTTTGTAGAGATCTTGGGTCGACGTACGGAGCACATTGTCGATGTCCTTGCCAATGGCAATGTCGATGTCAAGGTTGATGTTGGGTGGCTGGGTACGAAGCCAAGATCGCTGCCAGGATGTTTCGGCGCTAGAGCTTATTTTGGAACGCCTTCCACGCTTGGCATTCTCGTTTGTTTCGACTTGGCCTGGCCTTGACTTCCTCCGTCAGACACACACATTATTATTGACAATCACCTATGCTCATCATGTCGCAATGATGTCGGCTCACTTTCGACACCCTTGGAACTTCACCAGCAAACCAGATGCTGCGACGATCACGGCACTTGGAACTCCACTATGAACCGTGTTCGCTCGCTTGCAGGGGCACTAAACTCTGCTGGCAGCTCCGCGATCCGACTTCACAGACGGCCTAATCTCCCTCCGCTTATCCTACAGAAAAGATATTTGCAGCTGCCGTATGGACCGCAGACCCCAGGACCGCCAGATGCCGGGCCAGCTGGTCCTAATGATGATGAACCCAAGAAAAGTGGCAGCAAGCACGATGGCGGTGCCAAATTTGACTGGAAAGGAACTGTTTTCAAGATGACTGAAGCGGCACTGACTACCTTCGCATCTGTCGCAATCCTAGGTGCCTTTGGCTATGGCTATACTAGATATTACAAGGATATGGTCCTCCAGAAAATCGACAATGCCTTCAAACCTGGTGACCCTGTACTGGATCTTGCCGCCACTGGGAAGCAGGGAAGCGCAACGGGCGGCCAAATTCTCGTTGATGAGGACAAGAACCGCGAGCATTGGGTCTTGCGTGAAGAACAGGACCTCATCGACAAAATCGTCGCGGGCGAAATACGGGGTCAATATCACCTCCTGGTCGGCGAGAAGGGAACCGGCAAATCAAGCATGCTAATTGACGCAATGGCAAAAATCAATGGTGAAGGTTGCGCCATGTTCGATGCGCACGCGAGCGCCGAGATCTTCCGCATTCGCCTTGGAAAGGCCTTGGACTTCGAATATCATGAAGACAACATTGGTTCGCTCTTTTCCATTCGAGGTCCACGCGATGCTGGTCCCATTCTTGACATCGAGCGAGCCTTCAATAAGCTGGAAAAGATTGCGATGAGGCGGCGTGCTGAAAAAGGCCGGCCTCTGATTCTGATCTTCAATTCGATGCATTTGCTGCGCGATGATCAGGACGGCAAAGACCTTCTGGAATTGATCCAGCAGCGAGCGGAGCAATGGTCTGCAAGCAATCTCGCCACTGTAATATTCAACTCGGACGATTACTGGATCTACGAAAGGCTCAAGCAGTATGCGACCCGAATGAATGTCATTCGCATACTAGATCTCGGCAAGGACAGAGCTATGGCTGCACTCAGAAATTACCGCACAAAGTACCGATTCGAGGAGCCAGCAGACAGCATACTTGAACAGGTATACGACAAAGTTGGAGGGCGTATGTCGTACTTGAGCCGAGTCGCAAAGTCAGATGACATGCTAGAGAAGGCTGATGATATCTGCCGAATGGAGAAGACTTGGTTTCTCAACCAATGTTGGATTCTGGGCGGAGAAATGGATGACGATGTAATGGATCAGCAGAAGTATGCTTCCGCCGCAATGGTGCTGGCAAAGGCGCTAGTCGATAAGGAGAAGCAAATGGAGAGGACATACGACCCAGAGCAAGGTCACATCTTGCCTGAAATTCCATTACACGAGGCGCGACAAATCATGACGCGCGCCGATTTCATTCAGGTGTGTATGGACCATATTCAAGACCAGGATTCTCACTGACCGAATGCAGAGCTACGATGCAATAAACATCTTCGCAATCGACAGTAATGCGCAAGTGCGCGCAGACTCTGTGCCAATGATGAACGCTTTCCGCGAGATATGCGCACAGGAAGGCTTCGATGAATTCCTAAAAGCCACGCTTGAGAGAATTGCCGACATCGAATCACTCGGCAGAACCAGAGAATTGACCATCAAAGACCTTTGGGAGCGCGGACAGTACCAGATTAAGATGGTTGATGCACGTGGACGTCCTGCTGGTGGTATTATCATGGAAGCAGAACCCAAGCATCACTCGCTCGTCGGCAACGATGACGATGAAAATGATGACGAGAAAGAGGACGGAGAGGACAAGGGTGATGGTCGGTCCTAATGCAGACTCCGCCCGACGAGCTCCAACCCCTGCTGATGTACGTCGCAGCTGAGCCGTCTTCAACTGCCGCACAGTTCATGACTGCGACGTGGAGAAGATGTCTCGAGGAAGACGACGCGGACAAGAATTAGTCACTGGCATGTATATGTATACCTGCTGGGTACCCCGACCTTACACGTGCTTGGCGCCAATTTTCTCCACGAAAGCGAAGGATTGATACGAGGACAGGCCAGCTTCTTACTGTAGCCACAACCGAACATCCTCGTGCTCATCACCAATGCATGTGCCCGAACAGCACAGAATGCTGTGATGATGTGAAATCGAGGCTGAAAATCCCTCGCGGACTTGGTGGCGAGAGCACTTGGCCTGGAGTTTAAGTATGTATGTAAACCCTTCCTGTAGGTTGAACTTGTCTCCTGACTAGATTCACACAGCTATGACGAGCCAGTACGAAGACGTATCGCCCAAGGTCGACTGTTCAGTGTCCTTCGACAAACCTAATCTCAGCGGCAAGACTGCAGTTGTTACAGGTGGCGCAGCTGGAATTGGCGAGCAGTACACGCGAGCTATAGTGTCGTGTGGCGGGAAAGTCGTAGTCGCGGACATTGATGAAGCAAATGCATCGAGTTTGCAAGCAGACCTTGGGAACACCGGGGATGTGGTGTTCGTGAAGTGTGACGTGAGAGAATGGAAGGACCAAGTTGAAGCATTCCGAGCCGCACTCAAGCTGGGCAACGGAAAGATCGATATTGGTATATATCGTGTTCAAATTCCGCCGCATTCAGAGTGCTGACATGTTGCAAAGTCATCAACAACGCAGGCATCGGTTCTCCAGACGACATATTCGCAGGCCCCGACGATGAATCTCTAGACGAACCACAGGAACCCGCCATGAACGTTATGCGTATCAATGCTTTAGGAGCTCTCATGACTGCAAAATTAGCAACTTTCTACTTCCGAAAGCAAGCAGCCCAGGACGAGAAGGCAGGGGTCAAGAGTGACTACAACCTCATCATCCAGGCTTCCATCTGTGGCTATCTCCCCTTCCTCAAGGTCCCTCAATACGCATTCTCAAAATGGGGCCAGCGAAGCCTTCTCTGGGGATACCGTCATTCTGAGAGGAAGTATGGTGTAAGGACTAACATGATCTCTCCGTGGTACATCCCTTCTGGGATCGTCGTGCCCGAGTTCGTCGAGCATTTGAACAACGTTGGCGCGGGCACTGCGAGCGTGACAGATGCTGCGGATGCGTTGCTCAGAATTTTAGGGGATTCAAACATGAATGGGAGAAGTTTGGCGATTATGCCAAGGACTTGGGAGGGAGCTCCATATGGTTGTATAGATCTTGACGTGGATCAGTATCAAGAGGGTAGCTTCTTGAGTCGATGCGTGGATGTGGGTTTGTTTGCGGTCTGGGACGATAGTAAGCGTGAATGACGGATATATGACAGTCGCATGCAATGAACCTCATCAAGCATGCAAATGAATCTGACACTAGACCTCATTGAGCAATCTTGGCGAGTTTAATGGCGTAACCTCGGCTTCACGGAAGCCAGGCCCGAAGGATGCCATCAACACTTCACCAGCGTTATTCCCGTCTTCATCACATCCATGTCTCGACCGTCAAGATGGACATGACCGGCCGTGGAGGGCGGCCTACAAGAAAAGTCCCGCTCCCAAAACATCCAGGCAACACATACCTTCCATTCAAGGATCTAATCCGACTTGAAAAGATCGATGATCGGACGTTTCGTTCGATAGCGTTGCCATTCGCTCCTGGTGGTCCACTTGGAGTCGGACGCTCCTATGGCGCTCACGTATACATGCAAGCATGCTACGCAGCATGCCAAACAGTAGCAGAAGGCTTCTTAATTCACGTCAGTGCCGCCACATTCAATCGAAAATCCAGCAAGCAAGCAAGAACTAAACATTCCCACAGCACGTAAGCGGCAACTTCATCCTCTCCGGCGAACTAACCGTCCCCTTCATCTACAAAGTCCACATCATCCGCAACGGCCGCTCATACAGCACCCGAACCGTCACCGTCACCCAAAGTCAATGCAAAGGAATCTGTTTCACCTGCACAATCTCCTTCAAAACTCCTGAACCGCAACAAATCGAATCCCAAGAAAACTTCGAAATCTTCGCCTCAAAATACAACTCCATCCTCCTCTCCAACAAATCCCCCCGAGACTTCCCCGAATGTCCCAGCATGGACCTCCCCTTCTACCACGCCAACCTCCACTCCGGAATTTCCCAAAACGACGAATTCCCCGGCCTCGAATGTCGAAAAGTCGACATGACAAACTACAACAAATCCCTGCATCCTCTCGATCGCCGGCAACTAATTTTCTACCGCACGATCGGCGACATGCCCGAAAACGACCCCAACATGCATCTGTGCGCACACATTTTCGCCACGGATCGGAATTCTTTGTATATGGTTGCGAATCACTTTGAAGTAGGGGATTTTTTTACGACGATGAGTTCGCTGGCGCATACGGTTTCGATTCATAGTCCGATGGAAGATTTGAGGTTTGGGGAGGGGAGGGGGAAAGGGACGGGGGCGTGGGGGGATGAGGAGGATGGGATGGGGAGGTGGTTTTGTATGGAGGTTAGTGGGAGTCGGATGGGGTATGGGAGGGCGCTTTATCATGGGAGGTTTTGGAGTGAGGATGGGAGGCATGTTATGACGGCGATGCAGGATGGGCTTATACGGTTTACGAAGAAACAGGAGCCTGAGGATGAGGAACGGAGGTTTATGGATGAGCAGAATCAGAGGTGGCGGGATCAGTCGAAGCGGAGGAAGGATGAGAAGTTGTGATTGTCTGCCTTCCGGATTGCATGGAACGACAGATACGGTGAAGAGTCGGCATAGAAAGTGATTCAGCTATAAACAATATTACTGGCGTGGTATTTAATATCTCCGGTCGCAGACTCCTTTCGAAACGACAGCGGGCGGTCATTCTGTCCCAGAGAACATCTCATATCACATCACCCTCGCCCTCGAATATGCAGCTTTCCCAGGACATCATAGCCATCACTCGCACCTCATCCAATATTCCGGATGCAGAAACGCCTGCTGCATAATTGGAAGAAAACATCTGTAACTCTCCCTCCAGAAATACTTAAGCCGACCCAAATCCGTCGAACCGATCAGGACTTCGAATTGCAAACCCTATTTTTCCTCGTCCTGGCCATGAGCGTATGAAAATACTGACCCATGCCAACCATACGCAACCCTCAGCCCTCGGCGAAATTTCCAGATTTGCACCGCGGTCCTCACCCGGTCAATCCAGTCTGGGATGACATTGCGGCAGTCCCGATCCAAGATACTTTCGATATCCAAGGCAAAGTTGGCGCGGAGCAGGAAAGGTTGTGTGACGGCACTTCGATCGCCTTCTTCAATGAAGATACATAAAGGTGTGCTTCTCCCCTTCTTCTTGAACTCGTTCTTCCACTTTCTTGCCGGATCTCGGAAATTGCAACGACCGTTGGAGTCGCTGATGTCGAAAATTTCGAATCTGAACGTCCTCTTCTTCTTCATCTGCCAGAGATGTCTTCTTCTGTGTCTTGTTCGGTTTGGGTTTATCGGTCTGAACCCATGGCGACGCGGGTATCGATTGCCGCTTTTGATCTGGTATGCATTTTCCTTCTCGATGGCGTATGCGTCCGGATCCAGTGAAGATGCATCGATCTCGTGAGAAAGGCAGTGAATGACTGGAAGTTTGGAGTCCTTGTGGGAGGGTGGGAGATTATGGACTGAATAACCTGCGAGGTGTTTTTTGTATAGCGCTGTCAATGGAAGGAGAGTTTTGAGATCGTCGTTGGTCAGCTTTGTGGGTGCTGCTGCTGTATTGGCCATGATGGCGTTGCGTCCGAATGTAGCGTACTGTGAAGCTAATGAATTATGTTTTGTGGCGTAGCGATGTATGAGAGAGCGTGCATGCAAGCTCAGGAAGATGTGTAGCGCAAGGGGATTCATTGCGCCTATGGTAGGCGCTCTGGAAGAGGTCTGCAGTAGTCACTGCCACTTTCGAAGCAGCAGCGGGCACACCTTGAGCGTTTCTCATCATTAACTATACAGACGAAACATGGAGCTAGGGATCTCAGACAATTTCAACAACAGGATTGGCAAAGAAGTAGCAAATCGTCGAGCATTCATATTTCTCATTCAGCAGTAGCTGAGCCTAACAAGGACGTAAGTCTTCCGCCCGCCAGCGCTTGATTCACGCGCGCCGTCATCATTGACACTCTCAGCGGCCAGAGGTCCTTCCCAAAACGCCAAAACATTTCATCAGTCTTCAGAAGCGAGAGAGCCATGCGCTCTCAATCGCATATCGTCAATAAGAAAGAAACGCCTCCATTCCATGCTCCCGCCAAAACGCCGCACAATAGCCCATCAAACCATCTCCTCCTCATACTTCTTCCCATACAACCCGCAATAGATGCCAATCGCCTCATTCAAAAACTTCCGATACGCACCGGTAATCTCCTCGAAAGCCTCAACATCCCACTTGAAGTTGTACTGGCGCTGTCTCAAACAAAGTTGGGTCCTAGTCGTCTTTGCATCAGTCTCGACAAAGGCTTTAGCCTTCTCGATATTGCCGTCACGGATGAGGTCTGCGTAGTGGCGCTTGTATCTGGCGATAGCTCGATCGGCGTAAATCGTCTGTTGGAATTTTGCGGCTGAGGAGCTGAAGTCTTCCAGGGACTTGATCACGCTCTGCAGAGCGAGGCGGGAGTTCACTTCGATGAATTGACAACCGAGTTTGGGGTCGAAGTAGTCGTCGTCTGGTAATGGTCGTGGGATGCGAGATGGTGCTGCAGCTGGGATAGATGGCTGAGCAGTCATCGTGTTGTTGACGGCTTGATTCTGGTTACCCGCAGCAGCATTCGTTGGAGTAGGATTGAGAATGCTCATGATCGCCATCTTGTTCTGGACGGACTGGACAGGAGCATTGACAGTCTTGCGACGCTTGCCTGGTGGAGCGGTCTTGCTGCCACCATTATCGGATGGTGGACTAGAGCGCTTCTTGCTCTTGTTCACCTCAGCATTCGTATTCGTGGATGATGCAGTCTCAGCAGAAACTGAGTCGTCGTCTGACGCCTTAGGAACCTCGTGCGATTGAGAAGCTGCGCTGGACTTGGCCTTAGCCTTAGTCTCGCGGATGGCAGTCTCTTCCTCACTCAAGGTAGGAAAAGCTTCCGCAAGACTCGTGCCCTGTAGCAGGCACGGAGAGTCAAGAGTCATTGGCTTGACCTGGGTGAAAGTCTTGTCTGCGAATTTCTGCTTCTCGCGCAACTTCGGGTCGAGGTACTGCACCTGGTAAGGCTTCGTCTTCTTGTTGTTCTTATGGACCTGTCGATCAAGTCGCACGGTAGCGATGGCATACATGCGAGCGTTGACATGGGCGAGGACCACACTGCCAAGACCGATATTCGTGTTGCCGTGAGACTGCTCGTGGAGTTGCTTCAAGACTGTTTCGGTGTCGGCTTCTTCGAGCATTTGGTCTTGCTTGTAGAACTGGATGACTTTGTGGAGAGTCTTGGGGTTGTGGAACTCCACAACGCCAGTGATATCCTCACACCATTGAACACTTTCCTCGTCTCCAGGATCAGCGACTTGAATCACTGGGTATGCGAGTCCACGGTGGAGGTGACCATCCGCCTCGAAGCGGACGAATGCATTGCGACCAGGTGAGGCTGGGTCTCTAATTGCGTAGAGAGTCTCGCCGTTGACCTTGTCGTGGATCGACGCGGAGGCGACGTCGGCTGTGTTGCCAGACATGATGTGTGGAAGTTGAGCGCAAATTGTCGATTTTGCGATAGGTGAGAACAGGTCTCGTCTATGAGGCTCGACGTTGCTCACCGTCGGTGGTGGCGCGCGACTCGAGCTTGAAGCGATTTACTGTCTTGTATGCGTTTCGTCTGAACAGCAGCTGCTGTCTTGCGATTTTTGAATAGTACTGAAGGCTGTATCGTCAGAAATGCGGATTGCAAATCGTAAAGAGAACCTGCGTCAGGATGAGTTGTGCTGCTTGCAGACTGGAAGACGTGTCGGACTCGAAAGCAAGATATAGTGTGTGTGTCATTTCCACGATGGGATTGTGGTCTCGAGGTCTTTTGTTGGGAGTTCGAATGGGATTGTTCATTAACGGGTCTTGCCGCTCTTCACATGCAAGAGTTCATTCCCAGCGCGACTCACCTGTTTGTGTCTTGGTCCGTGCTCCGGCAGATCGACACTAAACGAGCTTTACTTTCACTTGCGACGGCTGCCTAACTGACATGGTCCATGCGCTCCGCTAGCGCGCTCTCCCACATATAAAAACAGTCCTTCCGCCTCCAACTTTCTTCCTTTCATCCATACAGCCCGCGAAAGATCTCTTAGGAGAAGCACCTCGCGCGGTACTTGGGTGCAGCTAAGCTTTGATGGACGTGTTGCGGACGCGAGTTCGTATCTCTTAGAGATCTGCTCAACGCCGAAAACTTTCCCTGCGGACAAATTGCGGCACTCGAGTGCGCTTGCACAACTCCTCTTTCCAGGACTCGCCACTCGCCTTACCTGATCCTTAACCGGGGGCGGGCGACTGCATTCCGTCCAACTGGCACTCACCGCGGTGTCGGGGCCCCTCCCGGATCAATGCAGAGGCAGGAAGTGAGACATGATATTGTGGCTTTTCTCAAACGACAGAACTTCGACAGGAATCAGTTGGATGTGGCCGCACCTCCTGAGCCTGCTGGATGAGAGTTGATGCAAGCGCCGCAGATTGGCAGTCTGCGAGCAGAAAGAGTTGGGTCACTGGGGGATAATGCAACCAGAACTGTTCGAGCGTCGTAGTCGCGATGGTTCGGAGCCTCGTCGTGCCTTAGCATGGCATTCTTGAGAGGCAGACTACCCGTATCTGTGCCAGATGAGAAGGCAAAACGCCAAGACTGCCTCACCTCTCTGGTTACAGTGCATGCAGAGACGGGTCCATCGTCGGCTACGATCTGAGTTCACTCAGTCTCGCACTTTCGCGTCTTCTGTGTCGGCCTGACCAGTATGACAAGATTGCTGCGAGGGCGAGAATGGTTCTGCCTGACAGTCGGCCAGCTGTCTGAGGGGTTCGTTGCTGTTGGGATCTGGGGGGGCTTCTCAATTTGGCAAGTCATCTCACATATAAACCTCCTTGCGAAAGATCTCTTCGGAGAAGCACCTCGTGAGGCACCCGCGCTCAGCTCAGTTCGATGGATGTGTCGCAAGATTTCCCCTGCGGACCGCTGCTGAGCAAGGGTGCGCGCAATGATCCACCTCATCTCAGTCATCGACGGCTGCCGGGCCCATAACATGTAGATGGCAGGCCTGGAGTGAGGCAACTCTACACATAACAATTGTGTTGAGGCGCTCCCTCACTCATTGCGTGGGACAGGAGGCGACCTGAGATGTTGCTGTTCTTCATGGAAACATGGTTCCAGGGCTATGCAGCGAGATTGGGATGTGTCCGCACCTGATCCGCCAAGTAGTCTGGGTTATTGCGCGCCGCAGATTGGCAACCTGCGAGTGAGATGGACTTCTGGGGGATCATTTTGCAACCAGCACCACATGGACGCCAAAGCCGATTTTGGTTCGGAAACCTCGTCACGCTCAGCGCGACATTTCTCTGGGGTTGTCCACCTATATCGTGCCAGATGAGAAGATGGCCAAGACTGTCTCACCTCTCTGGTTCTGCGCATGCGATATAGGTCCATTCGGCGGCGGTCTGAGTTCCGCTCAGTCTTGTGCTCCCAAGCCTACTTGATCTGCCAGACCGGTAGAGGAGGTTGTCGCGAGGGTACATGTTGATTCTGCCTGACAGTCGGCCAGCTGTCTGAGGGGTTCGTTGCTGTGGGATCTGGGGGCTTCTCACGTCAGCTTGCTCGCGGTGATGCTGTCCAGCCGTTTCTGGTTGGGAGTATCATCAGTGAGCTCGCCGACAAAGATACTATTCGGCCGTTTCTGGTTGGAAGTATCACAACTCCACCTTTTTTTCATCATGTCATTGCCAAAGGCATTGGCTTGGAGAAGAAAATGCCCCGAAGCAGCCAATTGCATGCGCCTGAATATGAAGAATGCTTCTTCTGCATCCAAGCTCGCCTCTCAGGGACAATAAGCAGCTGGAAGAGCATGAGTGAAGTGTGAAAGCGCGGAAATGTTTCCGCAGAACGCGTCTCGATCGCGTCGAACACGAGATTGATTGATTGAGCTTACAACTTCGAGAAAATACATCGTCGCCATCGACAACAATGGCTCTTCTCGTCGATAAGCATCGTCCGCGAACTCTCGACACCCTCTCATATCACCCCGAACTTTCTGAACGACTGCGAGCTTTGGCAAATAGCGGCGATTTCCCACATCTGCTCATCTATGGCCCATCAGGAGCAGGCAAGAAAACACGAATCACAGCCACTTTACGCGCACTATACGGTCCTGGTGTCGAGAAGATCAAGATAGACAGCCGAGTCTTCCAAACTACTACAAATCGCAAACTCGAATTCAACATTGTCTCATCCAACTACCATCTCGAAATCACTCCTTCAGATGTCGCCAACTATGACCGAGTCGTGGTGCAAGACCTGCTCAAGGAAGTCGCGCAAACACAGCAAGTCGATCTATCGGCAAAGCAGAGATTCAAGGTCGTGGTCATCAACGAGGCGGATCATCTGACAAGAGATGCACAAGCAGCACTGAGACGGACGATGGAAAAGTACTCGCCGAATCTACGTCTCATCCTGCTCGCGAACAGCACAAGCAACATCATCGCTCCTATCAGATCTCGTTGTTTGCTGGTAAGAGTTGCTGCACCCACCGAAGAAGAAATCTGTGAAGTTTTGGCGAAAGTCGGGAAAGACGAGCGATATACAGCATGTCAGCCATTGGAGAGGAGGATTGCGAAAGAGAGTAAGAGGAACTTGAGACGAGCACTTCTCATGTTTGAAGCGGTGCATGCACAAAACGAGAATGTGTCAGAGAAGACGCCGATTCCGCCACCGGATTGGGAGGCGTTGATTGAGGTTATTGCGAAGGAAATTGTGGAGGAGAGAAGCCCGGCGCGGATATTGCACGTCAGAGCGAAGCTGTACGACCTTCTCACACACTGTATACCAGCGACGACGATTTTGAAGGTGAGCATACTGTTTGCGTGCGTTGGGAAGACTGCTTGCTGACCGGAATCTTCTAGACTTTGACATTCAAGCTCATGCCCAAGCTCGACGACACTCTGAAGCCAGAAATCGTCAAGTGGGCAGCTTTCTACGAACATCGCATCCACATGGGCAGCAAAGTCATCTTCCATTTGGAAGCCTTTGTCGCAAAGTTCATGCGATTGTACGAAGGGTACGCATGGTACAGATTCCTCGTCTGGTGTGACTATACTGATACATCGTAGACACCTCCTCGGTATGGATCTCGACGATTTCGATGATTGAGCAACGAGCAAAGACAAAAGGGTTTATATCTGCGCAACATTCACATGTTTCGAGTGCAACATTAGCGGGGCGTTTCTGGGCGTGGTGTGTGTGGATCTTCTGCAGGGTATATATAGTTTCGTCATCGTCACGACCCTCTCTCCAGCTAAAGAGGGCGGGCAAGCACCACAATGGCAGTCATTTGTTCCACCGTAACCACAAACCATTGAACTTACTTACTTCCGTTCACTCCTTCAAGCTCACACATCTCAACTTCCCTCAAGTTTCACAATCACCAATCGCCAAAATTTCTCCCTTCTTCAAAGGCGGTTCCGGTTCGCACCGTAAAAGCGGATCTTGGGGTTCATTCAGCATCATGTCTTCCGACTCCAAATTGATGGATTCAGAAATTGGAGGTGAACAAACACAGTAAGTAAAGCGAAAGCCCCACACCCATCTTCTGACTCCCACCTTCTCTAACCTTCTTTGCTGTATGATAGATACGAATCCCAATCCACAACCCAAACCCCACACAAAAAGTCCTCGGGTCAGCTCGGTCACGATCAAAATATGAGTACCACAGACCCGAGGAATTCTGAAGAGGGGATACGAGCGCAGAAGGAGAGGGGAGAACATAATACGGAGAATTTTCGATACGGACAGACAGTTTCTGAGGGTGGGATGAGTGGGTTTACGAGCAATCAGAGTGGGGAGGCGGATGCTGGGAATGAAAAGGTGGAGGGGAGGAGGGTTGCGGGGTATGGGAGTGGGAATGATGTTGGTGCGTGATGGGATGGATGATGGTATTCGATAATATAATGGGGAAAGGGAAAGAGGATGTGGCTTTGAAGCATATGCGTAGACAGAGTGTCACCTGCATACGGGAAGCCGCTCCACGGAAGAATCTTTCAGCTTTCCTTCGCCTGGCGAATTTCGTGCATATCTTTGCTAGACAATTCTGTATGTGTTCAAGTAGTTTCCGGTCGTTCCCTACCGATCTCGTTGTCCGCTGCTGGCTCTAGAGGAAGGCTGTGGCCATTCATCGACGAAGGCAGAAGGAGAAGTGGAATTGCACCACATCTCGAAGGCTGTATATAGCCCACCCCGGTCTGCCTAGATGTCTTCCCGAATGAACGTATTACAATGTCTGTCCATTGACGCGATACGCGATCCTGTTTGGCGTGAAGTGAAGATGCAGAGGCAACGCATGTGGTCTACTCGAACCAAAGGCGGTGGAGGCAGGATTCTGGAAGCAAAGTGGAAGTGCCGCGATGACGCTAGCAGGCGTTGCTCGTTGCAACAAGTGATCGACGAGATCTACTGTAGAATCCTTCGTGAGTGCAGCAGACGTGTCACATGCGAGCGAGCGCAGAACAAGAAGAAGAAAGGCAGCGCGTGCGGATGTCACTGTCGCTGTGTCTGTGTCTGTGATACTGCCGACCATGCGACGTGATGGATGGTTCCTGCTTCTGCACCAGCCTCAGCCTCCGCACTTGCCACAGAAGGTCCGGGCTAGAGGCGCGCCTGCTCCAATCGAAGCAGTCAAACAGCTGCTCACGCGTACGCGCACGCGCACCAGCAATACCACCCGCTTCATCACCTGTTTCTCCATGCGCTGGGACTGGTCGCGCATGTTGGGTGACGTCGGGCGGGAGTAGAAGAAGAGAAGCTGAACCGTGAAGAGAAGCGAGTCTTGCCTTGTCACTTACCTGAAACGCTCTTCTCGTCGACAATAATTACCGCATCCATGTCCGTGTTCACGTCCTGCTGATGAGAGAGCCCGAGTCCCGCCCGCCAACCACCACCCCATCACGCGTCTACACTACTGTGCACGCTACTCCTGCCACTCCCATGCGACCTACGTTTGCTCAGTATCGCGACACCACGCTCGTTTGACCGCTCTGCGACAATGCTTGGGCAGTGAGCCTATTTTGGAACTTTGCGCTTGCGCTTGGACTTGGTCAAGAATCTCCCAATCCTGGAACCATGGCTTATGACCAGCATTCCGCATATGAGCCTCCCCGCAGAGCCTACCTCGACCGACAGCAGCCTTCTGCTCCTGCTCATGCCCACGCTGGCTACAATAATAATAATGACTACGCCGAGTATGCCAACACTCCGTACACCCAATACGATCAAGCCTACCCTCCGCCGTACCAGCAGCCGAACTGCGCTTATAATGATGGCGATGACCAGAGCATGAACGGCGGACAAGCTATGAATGGGCATCAGGGAGGCTACGACATGCCTCCTCAGCAAAATCTGCAGTACCACCAACCACAAGAGCGTTCCTATGACCCGAGATACCAGCCTCGAGCGCCCCGAGGTCCACCAGATCGAGGACCAGCTCCCAGCCAGCGTGGACCTCCATCTGGCAGAGAACCACAGCACGCAGCGCCGCGGCGCCCTCCAATGCAGAATGGCTACTCAACACAAAGTGCACCGCAATACGACCGCTACAGCCAATCCAATGCGCAATACTCCGAGCCTCCTCCACCTCAGGTGCATAACGCGTCCACGCACAATGTCAAGACTTCGATGGACGACTGGAAGGCTCGGGAGAAGGCGAAGATGAAGGCACAGGCTATATCGCCAGAAGTTATGCCCTTCGATAATGCCTTCCCAGTCTTTGGCGGGAAAGAGAGAAAGCAGAATCGACCTGGTTCCGACCCATCGATTGAACCGAGTCAGCACGGAGGCGATCATCAGCGACCCGTGAATGCGCTTGGGCAAAGGCCCGGAGCGTCCAGAGAGAACAGCTACCAGAAAGAAGGATACGAGGCTCATGCGCATCCACGAAGACCAAACATGGACAGAAACCACACTGCTCCAGAAGCTCCCAATGGCAGGTTCAACGGAGCGCCGCCGCCACATGTCCGACAGGGAAGACCTGGCTACAATCAAGCACCTCCGGAACAGCTGCAACGTCACCCCACAGCAAACATTGCGACACCAGTCGACCAGCAGTATCCTGATCAATGGCCCATGGTGTCTGGTCACACTCCTCCGAAAGCTGCCCATTCGCCACCTCAGCATTCTGCGAATCACGTTAATGGCCATGGTTATGCACAAACTACTCAATACCAGCAGGGGTATGAGCCTAGTCAACCTGTTTCGAAACCTCCACCAAACCAGCGCGCACCACCTCCGATTGATACCAGACAGCAGTATGGATACAACGACCATAACCCTCTCAGCCCTGCTTTTGTTCCACCGCGGCCTTCCACCTCACACGGCGCACGCCCGCCACCCGGCCCAGGCTTGATGAGCCCTGTATCGCAACGCTCGACGCATGCAAGCCCACCACCGAAGCCCTGGATGCAGACCGACCATAGCAGAGCTGGAAGTGCTGGAAGCGCTGCAAGTGTTGGAGATATTATCGATGATTACGGGACAAACGCTGTGCCAGCTCCCGGCCAGCTCAAGCGTGTGCCGACCACTCGCGCGGAAGAGATCGAGGCAGAAATGCCCGACTTTGACTGTGCAGCACCATCTCAGACTTCGATGCTCCATAAGCGTAATCAAACTATTGACAAGCACCTTGCGGAACCATCGACCACTTCACTACCGCAGCAGCCGCCCCCTCCCATGCCTACTCCAGGCTTACCTCAATCTTCATCTGCGCCGGATGTGCGTTATGAGCAGCAACCTTACCAGCCCGCCGGCAGACCTCCGCCGGGATCAGTACGTGGCCCTCCAAGGCGCGGCATGCCAGGTGATGGGTACGGCATGCCAGGTGCAGGTCCTCAGAATGGCTACCAACAGCAGCCTCGGGGTCTGCCACCCAACGATCCCAGATACCAGCAAGACCCTATGCGGCCACCACAGGCGCCGTTTGCCCAAGAGCCACCGGTCAGACGATCTTTGGATGACGGCAGGCCAATGCCGATGCGCGGTGGTCCTCCTGGACCTCCCGGCCAACAACGCTTCTATCCACATGGTCCGCCTCCTCGAGGAGAGTACCCTCCACAACGTCCAGAGTTTGACCGAATGCAGAGTGCGCAGACTACATGGTCCGATCCTGGTCAAGGACGCATCGCCACTGCGCCTCCACAACGACATGGGATGATGAGCCCGCCGAACGGACCAAATGGCATGCCACTGACCCAACAACGATCTGGCCCAGAGCAGCAACCTCTTTCAAACAATCCCGATGCACTTCCTCATCATCCTGTGCCTGTGCGGCCCGGCCTCATGGCGCAAGGCGGTTCGCAACCCGCAAAGCCACCTCCCGTTAGAAACCACAACGAATCTACCAGCTCCGACCCTTCTCATCAACGGCAAGCGTCTAATCACTTTGCACAGCCAGTCACTCACGCCGAGCTCGATAGACTCCGCGCTTATGTTGATGCCAATCCAAATAATCCGAAGCAAACGCTCATCTATATCAAGAAGCTGGTCGAAGCAGCCTCTGTGCTGGCATCAGATGGCGGTCGTGCTGATCCCAAAACTACCGCGAAGAATCGCGAGAAGTGGATCATGGAAGCACTTAAACGACTGAAGCGGATAGTCAATTCTGGATATCCTGAAGCACAATTCTATCTTGCAGACTGCTACGGCCAAGGTATGCTCGGTCTCGAGGTGGACACGAAAGAGGCGTTCAAGTTGTATCAAGCAGCTGCCAAAGCTGGTCATCCTCAAGCAGCATATCGAACCGCAGTGTGTTGTGAGATGGGTCCCGAAGAAGGAGGCGGCACAAGCAGGGACCTTGCCAAAGCAGTGCAATGGTATCGCCGTGCTGCTACTTTGGGAGACGGTCCTGCCATGTACAAGATTGGCGCTGTGCTGCTCAAAGGACTTCTTGGGCAGCAACGAAACGTCACCGAAGCTATAATCTGGTTGAAGCGTGGCGCGGAGCACGCAGATGCAGACAATCCTCATGCTCTTCACGAGCTCGCCGGTCTCTACGAGTCGTCAAATACTAATCCCGAAATCCGTAATAAGGTCGTTGCGGATGACGCTTATGCTCGCGACCTCTTCATGAAAGCTGCTGGGCTTGGATACAAGTTCAGTCAATTCCGCCTCGGCCAAGCGTACGAGTATGGCAATCTGGGACTGCCGATCGATAACCGTTCCAGCATCGCATGGTATACCAAAGCTGCAGCTCAAGGTGAACACCAAGCTGAGCTTGCATTATCTGGATGGTATCTCACCGGTGCTGAGGGAATATTGGAACACAGCGACACCGAGGCCTATCTATGGGCCAGGAAAGCCGCCAGCTCGGAGCCTCCTCTTGCCAAGGCAATGTTTGCTATGGGCTACTTTACCGAGAATGGCATCGGCTGTCCTCCGAGCATGGATGAGGCGAGGAAGTGGTATGGTAGAGCTGCTTGTAAGTCGAGAGGTCGTTGCATCATATTTTTACCACTGCTAATTAACCACAGCCTACAAATTCCCCAAAGCTGTCGAGCGACTTGAAGAGCTGAAGAGAAATGGTGGCAAGAATCGATCTGCGCCGCAGAGTGGGAAACTGACACGCAAAGATCAGAAACACAATGAGGAGAATTGTGTGGTCATGTAAATCGGTAAAGAGTGAGGAAATGCGTGATATGATTGATGAGAGGACGAGACTCACGGTTTGAGAAGAGAAGAGCGGTGGCGTTGGACTTGGAATGAGCTGTACTGATACCACTCGGTTGAATAATAATATAGGGGAAACATAAATTCAGGAAGCTTGAAGTGTCGTGATGAAGACCTTGATGGTTCTGCAGCCGCCTTCTACACTTGACGCCTACAACAACACTTCGTCTATACCAGCAATATCGGCATAACGGCATCACACATGCGCTCTCATATCATCTTTCCCATTTCCCATGTTTGTGCTACGTCATATACCAAACCTTCTTCTGTCCGTACGTACTCCAGGCCAGAGCCAGAGCTCGATAACTACATACCTATATCACTTCACCTTCATACAAACACACATTCTTCCCTCTTGGCACATCAACATCGTTCTCATCATCTAATCACCCTACATATTCAATACACTACCCATCCAACTTCATCAACCCCTACCAGACACATGTCCTCCTCCACCCCCCAACACGACCAAAAACTCAAACCCGTCCTCTACGCCTCAGCAGACTCCCTCCAAACCTCAGGCGCCCAAACCGACGGTGCGCAAAAAACCCCCCCCCCCCCCAAATCTTCCTCCCATCCTTTCTTTCTTTCCTTCTCTTTACTCATCGTAATTCTCCTAGGCATCCTCCGCCAAAACGCCCTCGTCCACCAATGTCCCAACCTCTGTGCCACCCGCATGCTCGCAAAACCTCATACTCAATCCGCTATCCATCATCATGGGGAGGAGAATACGATTGTTTTCGCGCATGCTGGACATGGGGTGATTGTTTGTAAGTTGCGCGAGCCGAACGAACGAAGTGAGGCGAGAGAAAGACAGACTTTATTGTTTGGTTTGGTTTGGTTTGGCTTCGCTGCTGACGCTCAGCCAGTTGACGGTGGAAAACGTACACAGGAATTGGAACCCGGGGATTTTGCGCTGATTCCGGCTTTTGTGGAGCATCAGGAGGTTAATGAGAGTGATGAGGTGAGTGCAAGGACTTGAAAACAAAAAAAAAAAAAGGAAAGATGGGTAGGGGTGCGGGATGGTGGCTGATGGGTGATAGGATGTGGTTTGGTGTATTGTTCGATCTGGGGAGGCGCCGATTGTTGTGAATTTACCTGGGGGGTGGGGGACGAGTTGAAGATGAGATGAGTTCGGGGAGGGAGATGGAAGCGGGCTTGTTGGATATGAAAAAGTCCTTCAAATTGAATGAGTATTGTTAGGTTACTGGGATTTTTGGCGTCATGATAGGCAACCTGAAATCGCCTCTTGTCTTCTGAGCTTCTGCAGTATTGGTCGTCGGTCGATGGGTCAGCATTTTTGGTTGCCTTGTTGATGCCTGAAAAGCGGGCCCTCAAACTCTATCTTTCGACGCGACTTCTACGCGTTCTGACTGACATGACTTCAATTATTTTTCCCATCACATAGAACATCGGCATCCGTGCTACTATGAAGAATCGACAGTCGACACTCGTATATCTTGTCAAGTGGCAAGATGGTAGTGACAAGGGTGCTGTGTGTGGCTGAGAAGCCATCCATTGCAAAGGCTGTCGCTCAGCATCTGGGTGGCGGAGACGTTCAGACTGTGGGCGGCAATGTGGAAGACAATGCTTGTGTACGAACTGACGGTATGTGCAGCACAACATCCCAGGCAATCAATATGTCAAGAACTACAAGTTCACCTTCAACTTTCCAGACTGGGGCCAATGCGAAGTTACCATGACGTCCGTCCTCGGGCATTTGATGATGCATGACTTTGAGCGTCGATACAAAGGCTGGAATTCTTGCGACCCAGGGGTACTCTTCGAAGCCCAAATCGAGACCTTCGTGGCGGAAGACAAGAAGCCTGTCGCAGACAACATTGAACGCCAAGCTCGAGGAGTACGATACCTCTACATCTGGACGGACTGTGATCGAGAGGGTGAGAACATTGGTGCAGAAATCCGAAGCTGTGCCCTCAAAACAAACCCTGGCCTCAGTAATGGCAGGATTGTTCGAGCTCGATTCTCCAACATCGAGAAGCAACATGTGCTCAACGCCGCGCGCCGACCAGGTACTCTGGATGATGCTCAAGCGAATGCAGTCTACGCGAGAATGGAACTTGACCTTCGGATCGGCGCCTCGTTCACCAGGAAGCTAAGTATAGGTCTCCAAGAGATGCTGGGCAGAGAGCCAGGCAAGGGCAGCGTCATCAGCTATGGCCCCTGTCAATTCCCAACTCTGGGCTTTGTCGTCGAACGATACTTTCGCGTACAGAATTTCGTTCCTGAACCATTTTGGGGCATCAAAGTCATGCATGAGAAGGACGGTGTCAAGGTCAAGTTCAATTGGGCTCGGCAGCATCTTTTCAACCGCATGATTGTGGTTATACTGTTCGAGCGCTGCCTGCATGCCCGACTTGCGCGAGTCACGAAAGTACAGACTAAGCCGACGAGCAAGTGGAGACCGCTGCCACTTACTACAGTGGAGTTGCAAAAATGTGGCAGCAGATTCCTGCGATTGAACAGTCAAACTGTGATGAACATCGCAGAAGGACTGTATCAGAGGGGTTTTATCAGCTACCCTCGAACAGAGACTGACCAATTCGACCGCGGCATGAATCTTCAAGCTATCGTCCAGAAGCAAGCAAACGGCCAAGCAGCGTGGAGTCAGTACGCGCAGCATTTGATGAACGGCGGCTTCGTCCAACCCCGAAACGGAAACCACAACGATAAAGCACATCCTCCTATCCACCCTGTGAACTTCGCCGCTGCATCTGTCCTCAGCTCAGATGAACGCCGCGTCTACGAATTCGTATGTCGAAGATTCCTCGCATGCTGCAGCGACGACGCAAAAGGCTCCAAAACCGAAATCAGCATCCTCTACGGCTCCGAAACCTTCAACGCATCAGGTCTGACCGTTCTACGTCGCAACTACCTCGATGTCTACCCCTACGACAAATGGACCAGCAGCCAGGAATTGCCGGATTTCCGCGAAGGCGAGACATTCGAGCCTACTGAAGCCAATATTCATGAAGGTCAGACGTCCGCGCCAGGATATTTGACTGAGCCGGAATTGATCGCGCTCATGGATGCAAATGGTATTGGCACTGATGCTACGATGGCAGAGCATATTGCGACCATCAAGACACGCGAGTACGTGATGACTAGACCTCGTGGTCGACAAGCTGGGCAAGACGCGGTCGAGATGTCTAGTGAAGACGACGAGCCAGCGGGCGGAGGCAGAGGCCGTGGGCGCGGTCGTGGACGAGGCGGTCGGGGTAGAGGCAGAGGACGCGGAGGTCGTGGCGGGGGAAGCGAAAGGACTTCTGGTGTGGAGGAGTTCATTCCGAGCACTCTCGGCATGGCTTTGATTCAAGGCTACGAACAGATGGGTCACGAGATCAGCCTGGCGCGACCTTTTCTGCGCAAGGAGATGGAGCTCAAGATGAAGGCTGTGTGCGAGGGACGGAGGACTAAGATGGACGTGGTTCAGGAGACGATTGAGCAGTATCGGGCCGTGTATTTGCGCTCCACACAGCGGTTTGAGGTGCTTCGACGAGTAAGTGGTCATGCCTCGATTTTGTATGTGTATGCTGATTTTGAGACTAGTCGGTACAGCGATATGTACTCGGTCAATGAGCCTTGCGCTTTGATGGCATGTTCCACGATAAAGTCAATGCCTCTGTTGCGCGATTGCCGAACGGGGTTTCTGCATGGGAGCATCTCTTCCCATTAGCACAAACCCTTCATAGGCAACTTTGCCACCGACCCCAACTTGCTGGTTGCCCTCGAACTGTGTCTTTCTCTGCTCCTCATTGTGCCTCAGTTCCGTCATCTTTCCGTCCTGCGAATTCCTGGTGAACCTGATCGCGCTCCTCCTCGGTCGCAGCCACGGTTCTGGGTATCCAGACATACATGAAGGACACACACTCCTCCAGCTTGTGAGAACAAGAATTTGACATGTCGTCCAAGATCTGACGGACAGTCTGTCCCACAGGGTGGCGGCTACCTGCTATTGACTCCCATATTTTGATCTCGTACTCCATGGAGTCCGGACCGTTCTTGGTAGTATTGTTGAGGAGCTTATTCATGGTGATGCCACTTCTATCACAGGCCGTGATCTCGATGGTTTTGAGGTAGGTGCCCTTGTCCTTCATGCGCACGCTGATCTGCAATGTAGCGGAGGTGCATGGTGGGTCCGTGATGTTCATGTGCTGCCACGATTCTGTGGCCTTGGATTTGGGGCGTAGGATGAGCTGACGTATATTACGCGGTAGGAGCAGCATCTCCGACTGATTTGGTTCATCGGAAATGGCGCACGCATGCCTCCCCAAGCAGACTCGAAGTTCGGTAGGAATGGTAATCATCGGATTCTGCGTGACGACGCGGAGACCTTCGGCGAGGATTTCGGTGTCTGGGCTCGGAATGGGTGAGACTGCGAACTCGTATACTTTGAACCAGCTCTCGTCGTCTTCCCGGTCTTTGCCAACGATGGCCCAACGTTCCGATGCCACGTTCTTGTTCGAGGGCGTCAGAAAAAGCATCTCCTGCAGAGCCGGCGAGGTTGCGACGATGGTGCGGAATTGCTGACAGACACTCTGCGCCACAAGCGCTTGTTGCGGTGGCAGGAGCAAGAAGATGTTCTCGAGCAGTTCTGCGGTGTCGAAGACTGCTTGGCGAGCAGCGGCCGTCGCCTCCAACTTCGCCTTTGAGGAGCGTTTGTCCATTGGCTCCATCTTCCGAGGTGTGGCCAATGTTGCAATTCAGCTGGCTAATGGATTTTGTGGTGGCGAGAGCTGCTTGAGTATGCACTTGCGTGTTGATGTGCAGGTGATGGTGAGCTGATGACGAAGCGCGAGCTATGAAACGGCTTCTGCACGTGCCTGCCTGTGCACGGACCAAAAGGCGCCACCCGCTTGCGCCGATTCACATGCAGCCTCGAGTCTCAAGTGTGGATCATAAGGTTTGGTGTTGATATCAGAGGATTCGTCAAGATGTCTGGACGCATCCACCAGGTGAAGACCGGCTTCTGAAGGTTCAGTGACGTGCTAAGCCATCCCATCCCCTGAGAAGTGCATCACGCGGAAGCGATGGCGTAACGCGCTCACATCATCGCAGCTTGGTGCCATCTTGCTGCTTGTAAGATCTTAGCCAGTCGTCTTGTGAAGCTGCTGACCACAGGCGTACTGGTTCAGACTGTTTCCCAGCCTAACCGTTTCAGAAAGCAAAGTCGTGATGTCGGTGTCCGGGAGTTGCTCTCTGGTGGGCAAGCACATCTTATCACGCTTCTCGATGGCATCTCCGACTAAAAGAGCCATGCTGACAGCTTCGGAGGCCAGCGATTCAATGTCTCTGCCGATCGCGATCCATTATGGCGCCGCTAGGTTGATGCTTTGCGCTACAAAAACGATTCCATTATGCTGACTGGACGAACGTGCGAACGGAGTCTTGAAGGACTACGAGCCTCTGAGCTCGAACAAGGCTTGAAACCCGCCCATATGGGCCAGTCAGCCTTGCGGGTGCTGTGAAAATGCTTGGAACATCTCGTCTGGAGAAGACAAGTCAGCAGGTTGGTTCTGAATGCAGGAATCCAGCGAAGACGTGTGCACTGGAAGCCAGGATATACTGTGCGGAAGGTAGAACCACAGAAACCCATTGTATCGCTCACTGCCTCTCCGAGCATCGTATCCTTGCTTTCTTCGTCGGCCTTCTCATTCGCCAGCTGCATGCACTTCAGTGCTCCGTATCGCTCTTGTACTTCGATGGATATCTGCTCGCCAGATACTCCAGGCATAGAGCATAACGAGAGGCATTTATACTTGATGTAACTGATGTATTGGAAGAAGGACTAATCTATGTAGAAGTCCGAAGATGGAGTGCAGCAGTTGCAGCCTTAGGCATTAGGCACGTGATGGACCCTGACACCTAGGTATACACTCCAAGTTACCCCCTTAGCACGTACATATCGCTATAGAATAAAACAAACAACACAATAGCCATTCTGTTAGCAAAGCAAACAAGGGGTATTAGGTAAGCAGAAACAGGTAAACAAACTAGACTACTCTTAGGTTATATAAACAAAGCAAATAAAAGGCCCTTTCTTCTTAGTATTTAGTAGCTAGCTTTATAGCGCTCTTAATAGCGGCCTTGCAATCTACTAGGTTTAGTTGTTTAATAAAGCGGCCGTGCTTAGTCTTGTTAAGCGGCTTAGTAAAGCTATCGGCTATCTAATTATATATACTAATCTATTAGACGATAATAGTACTATTAGCAATCTTCTCTCGAATATAGTAGACACGAGTATCTATATGCTTTGTGCGGCTATTAATAGTAGACTTAGTAATAGCGATAGCGGACTAATTGTCCTCGTAGAGCGTAACTAGAAGAATATAGCCCTTGTAACTAATTTCCTTTAAGAAGCGAGCTAAGGTAACTGCTTCCTTAGCCCCTATAGTAAGCTAAACATACTTAGCCTTAGTTAACGACAGTATAACGAGCGTCTAGCGGCCGGACTTATATAATAGAGGTCCGCCTACGATAGTAAAGTAGAAGCTGCCTATAGAGCGACGAGTAACTAGATTATTAGCCTATAAGGCGTTATAGTAACTAGCGAACTTAAGGTCGTCTTCGTTTAGGTTGCCTTAGAAGCGCATGCTACGGCTAAGGGTACTAACTAGGTACTTAATTAGCTAAAGAAGCGCAGTATAATACTCCTCGGTCGGGTTAGAAATAAATCGTAACAATAGGCCGGTAGTATAGCAAGCATCTAGCCGAGTAATTATTGCTAGCTAGAGGGCTTTACTAACACCCTCCTAATACTAAGTCTTAAAGGCGGTACTAGCTATATAGCCTTTAGGTACGCGTTAAATAGATGTCTTAACATAACGAGGCGCTATTAGAGTAGCTAGACTGATACGGCTACGCATACTATACTTCTCGTAGAGCCTATTTAAGTAGGCGTCCTAAACGACGTAGATAGTGCGCTTATTACGGTCGCGGATAATGCGCATGCCGAGATAGTAGTAAAAGTCGCCTAGTTCTTATATATTAAAGCGCTCCTTTAGCAACTAAGCAATAGCTTCTAGTACTAATAGGCTATAGGCGATAATAATTATATTATCGACGTAGATAACAATAATCGAGCCGCTAACAACGTGCTTAAACATATAGACGTCGGGCATTATTAGAATAAAGTCTAGGCTCTTTAAGTACTTCCGAAGCTCTTTATACTACAGCATTAGTAACTGCTTTAGACTATATAGGGCCTTTAGTAGTAGGCAAACTATGCCCTTGCTACTACGGTCTTTAAAGCCGTATAGCTGTTTAACGTAGATCTTATACTTATTACTAATAAGTGCGTTAAGGAAGGCAGTTAGAATATCGTACTGCTTAGCTTCTAGGTCGTAATAAGCGATTAGGCCGAATAGGGCCCGCAGTATAGATAGCTTAGCGACAGCCGTATAGGTCTCGTCGTAATCCTAGCCTTTAACCTACGTAAAGCTACGGACAACCTAACGAGCCTTAAACCGGCTTACATTTCTATTAGCGTCTCGCTTAATAGTAAAGACCTAACGACTACGAACAACCTTCCTACCTTCTAGCACCTCTAACCGAGATATATAAACCTATATATAGTTGTTAATTAGTAACTTGTATTTAGCCTCGTAAGCTTCCTTCTACTATAGCTAATATAGCGACTAAGTTGCTTCCTTATAACTCTTCGGAATAGGGATAGTTTCTTTAGGCTTATCGGACTGCTTAGTAATATAGTAGGAGGCTATAAAGCCCTTAATATAGGCTATCGGCATATTAGCTATTATGCGTCGAGTCGACCGCTAGACGCTACAATCGGCTAGATATCTACGTAACAGTTTACGAGCGCTCTTATTGCTTCGTATCTTGCGTATAGAACGATTGCCTGTCTTAGTTAGCTGCTCAAATTTAGGCAACTAGCTAGGCTCGCCCTTCTTAGCCTACGGGTCGTGTACTAGCTGTTCTTTAGCAAACTAGAAACTATCTTTATTACTTAAAGGCGGCTAAATAGCTAGAAGGTTATCCTTAAGCGGCAATAGATTAACAACCTTATTAGCTAACTTAATACCCTATATAGGTTCTTCTTCCTCCTACTAAGCTAGAATATGCTAGACTATACTAGCGGCCTCCGCTTATAGTAGAGCCTCGTTGCTTATAGAATTAAACAAAGCCGGTATAATAGACTCGAGTGTAACAAACTCGTTCTTAGCTAGGTTATTAGGATTAGCGTATAGATTTATATCCTCTAGAAGCGACAACTTGTCGTCCCCTAACTTAATAAACTAGACATCCTTCGAGGTAACAACCTTGTATTCGTCGGATAAGTAGATTATATATTTGCTAGAGTCTACTAAGTCCTTTGTATAACTAACTAGTTTGCTAAGCCTTCTACGAGCGTTAAACTTCTTGCTACGAGCTATACTATAGTCGTAGACAATAGCAGTATAGCTATAGGCTCGAAGGTATTAAAGGCGTAGCTACTTCCGAGACTAATTAAGCTCCCTAGCTATAATAGCATAGGGACTAAGGCCTTCTAAGGTTCTAGGAGTGATATTAAGAACCTATGTTGTAGTAGCGACTGTATACGGCTATAAGGCCTTTAGCAAATTAGCGTAGAGTATTATCTTCCGAGCGGTCGTGCATATAATATAATTACTAACTTTAGCTAGGCCGTTCTAAGTAGAAGAATGCGGTGCCGTAATCTGTAGTATAATGCCCTAATTACGAGCCTAGCTTAATAGCTAATTTCCGCCGTACTTACTCTCTCTATCGAGGCAGTAGATTAGGATCGAATAGCTAGTTTATATACGGACGTATATACGGTAGTCCTTAATTGCTACTACAGCCCCTAACTTTAGTAAGCTAGTATATTCGTATCGATAGGCTAATTTTGCGTATATAAACAACGTAAAGTAGCGTTCTTATAGTAGACTAGGGTTAGTAATAGTAACTATATCTATATAGACAATATAGTAAATAGTAGATAGTCGTAGTCGTAGTAGTCGGTTATATTCCTTATATAACGTTGCTATATAATAAGCGATACAGTTGCGGAAGTTACTCTTATTCTTGTTACTAGTAATAACAATCTGACCCTTAGCCTCTATTCGCAACAGCTTACGGTAATAAATATAGCTATATCGCAGATGCTATTCTTCTATCGTACCTGTTAGCACCCCCTTCTTTAATAGAAGCGCAACAACCTAGCCGTTAGGACTAGAGGTTAGTATATACAGATAGGGGAGACTATTCTTTCGGTATATCTAAGCAATAGTAACCTCCGAGCCGTTAACAATAGTAAACAGCACGCGCTTATCGTTCCGATAGAAATAGCCCTTCAAGTTGTCGGTAAGCTTCTTAGTAGACAGGAGGTTAGCTACTAGACCTAGTATATATAGTATATTAGACAACTTTATACTGCTTACACTACGCTTATTAACTACCTTAGTCCAAGCTATTCCGACTATCGTAGTATACTTCGTATTGCTACTAAACCGGATAGGAATATAATAGCCTTTATATTTAACGAGTAATAAAGGGTCGTTAACTATATATATACTAGTACCTAAGTCGACAACCTAATTAGTAGTACGAGTACTAGTAGTAAGAGCTATAGACACCTAGTCGCTAATAGTAACTATAGTATTTATAGTAAAGGCGTAATTGTCGCTTAGGCCTAATAACACCCCCGGGGTAGCATTAGCCGTATATAGCCCCTAAGCACTATTCTAACTAGATAGCGGCTGCTACTAAGTAGTTAGTCTACGCTGCTACTATTGCTATATCCCCTTCTTCTTAGCCTTCTACTATTTACGACGCAGTCGGTTTTCCTCCTTTAGGTAAGAGTACTTAGTATAGCAGCGGTTAGAAGGGTGTAACCCCTAATAATAGGCGCACTTCTTATAGTTAGACTAATAACTATTCTAGTTGCTTCTACCGCGGTCTCGACTATTAGTATTATTATTATTTCTGCGGCTACTACGACCGCTACGGTTCGAGTTACCTCGACTATTGCTATTACTATTGCTATTGCCTTATAGTTGCTAGCGCTAAAGGCCGAAGAAGCTATTATACTAGGCCTAGTTTAATTAAGCTACATTCTTATTAAGTAACGCGCTAATAATATTATTAAGGGTGCTATTATTAATAGTATATTCTAAGGCGCGTATCTACTTACGGCGCATCTATACGAATGCCTCGTAGAATAGTGCGATCTATATAATAAACATATAGACAGCCTAATATTAGCTAATAGCTAACTTAGTATCCTTTAAGGCACCGAGCTTCTTCTTATATTCGTTATAGAACTTCTTAACGTCCTTGCTATCGTAGCGAAGAGTAATATAGTCCTAGAAGAGCATAAATTTAGTAGACCTACCTTTACTAGTATATTTCTTCTTAAGGAAGTCCTATACTTCCTAGGATATAGACAGACTAAGTAGTAATTATTAAATATTACTAATACAATTAGCGAAGATCTAGGTACGCGCCGTTTAATCTTTAGAGTCCTATTTGTCTTAACGGTCCTTAAATTCTTTAGAAGTCTTACTAGAGGCCTTAGTAAGAGGTCGTAGGCGGGTGCCTTTATTAGGGCTAAAGAGGCTACACGTAATTAGTATATAACTAGGCCGAGTAAAGCTAGGGTCTTGATGCCTCAGGCAGGGCTTGGCGCTTGGCGTTAGGCTAACTCTCCTGCCTTCCTCCCTCTCTTCCTAGTTCCTTATCGAATACTACTTATGCCTACTACTGCCCTATCTACCT